GCATTATTTATGGTCAATGCACAGATGGCCACTATCTTTCATTGTTTCGAGAGTAATTCCGCAATTGATTAATTTAGCTCGGCCTACTTCCTACTCAAATGCAATGACACTGCTTCCAATTCAATTAGAAATTACATTTATTATTGTTCTTTATCATTTAATTACGTTACGAATCCCTTGGAGTTCTCCAAGCACTACTCACATTATCCGAAACACAGGGTGGCAGGCAGAGAGGCGGACGTTTCAAAGGACAGCCAGAGAGAGCATCGCTCAAAGTAAATACAACACACACACCAACGCCTTACATTTGCTACAAATAAATTTGCATTTATTACGCTCAAGTAGCAGAGCACAAAAAATCATACAGCGAAGCCGTCAAAAGCGCCCAAAAGGACAAGATCTTTGAAATGACAATTGTCTGTTATCAGCAACTCGCTGTCATCTATTGTTGTTGTTCTTGTAGACCCTAGTCTATGCAGTCGGATAGATAATTGAATACTCTTCTTTTGTATATCCAAGGAATTGAAGCCAAGACAAAATTTCACACTTTATTTATTCTTCTTTGGATTTTGGGTCACTGAGAATGTGTATTGGTATTTAGGTATACCTTAAAAAGGAAATTCCTATCAATGAAAGTTCCTATGTAGGTCTTCTATTAAAACATTCCACTCAGTAAATGGTAATTTGGATTGGGAGTCAGCTATGAAATCGTTTAAATCTCCTCTGGAATCGGCAGTTCCACTATCCAAAAAGTATCCAACACAGATGTTCTTCACTCCAATATTAAAATCAACTTTTCTTTTCTAACTAAAGTAATAACCATCTACATTCGTACGATCAAGGCTGCTGCAATCATAAACCATTAACTATTTTAACATTTCGGGATTATGTACTCACGTTTGGTAACCGATCATTTTTAAGCGACAAACAATGTGCTAGCTCATAATTTTGAGTCCAATACTCCACTTCACATTCATTTCGTTTCGTTGCAGCACAAAAACGACCTAGTCTGGATGGCAAGTTCTCTATATTATCATCGATATTTCCAAATTAAATTAAATACAAACATGACGGCAAATCAAACAAAAGTGAAACCAAAATCCACTCAGAGCAAATCATTCATTCATCAAGAGTTCGCTGATTTAATTCCAAATCTCCCTCACCCACACATACCCCAACCCCAGCCCCAACATGCAGAGGCCCCTATCCTAAAAGCAAACAGAAGAGCTCTCACACACACACATACATACACAAATGTTCATGCATAGAATGTGTTTTTTTTTTTTTTTTTTTTGGTTTCTTTGCCGAAGACGAAACGGAAATCACATTATAATCGAAATAAAATCTTGCAAATACCCACCTTCCCACTTCCCATACCTCGCTCCGCTCGGCTCCTTATCGTGCCAACCTACCGCTAACATGGGTCGGATGAGAAAAGGAAAGGTTACTTTACTATTCATCAAATTGAATTTCCCGTTAATGTGCATTCGAGACCTCTTCCACTTGCAAAGGGCGAGCAGCCATCCTCGATTTATTAGTTTTTCGTTTTTTTTTTTTCTCCTTTTGCAAATTAGAAATGTAAACATTTTCCGAAACGAAAAGTAATTCATGGAATTAAGATTTAATAGGGGGAATTCGTGTTCAAATAGCTATTGGAAATTCCGTTACGACACACGAGTGTCATCCTTCTTCTTTGCTATTTTGCAGCATGCTCTTCGGTTCAGAAACTTGTTTCTCCAGGCCCAGGATAAACGACGACGTGTGCCCACCCTACTGTATAAATTAGTCACCATATTGCTGATTAGATGGTATTCGAAATCATGAATAATCAGTTTCTCGACTCCAACACCTCCCCCACCCCCTTGCCACTGCTGCACTGCACTTCACACCGCATTCACGTTCACATTCGCTCATTTGCAGGCGGCGCTGGTCTTGCTGGTCCTAATGCCACCGATGCCAAAGCCAGTGAATAGATAAATATATCTAGAAATTAATTTTCAATGTGGCAATCAATCCGCGAGACATTTACATGCGAGCACACAAATCAAAATCGCTCAAATGAAATTCATTGAAGAGCAGTGGACAAACGAAGCGAAAAACTAATCAACGTCATTCAGCAGATAATTCGGATGAATCGATAAAATTCAATCTAAGAGCTTTAAATTACGAGCGGAATATTGGGAATAATCTGAATACAAATAAGTAGTAATTGGTCCGAATTGCTACTCAGGATGAAATGAAATGAAATGAAGCTTGGTGTCATGAATTGCAGGGTGAACGAATTAGTTTTTGGATTTTGGGGGCGTGGGTGAATGCAGATCAAATATATCAATACCAGGTCATGGACATGGTAAGATAATAGCAGTACTTCCTTACATGTTAATAACCCATTATTTTAATATGAAGATGTCGCCGGGTGTAAACTCTAGCTAGTAACTACTTATGAATAACCGTTCGTGGTTACTATGTAGCATGCGCCAGTCGCAAAAGACCATGAGTAATCTTAGAAATATGTTACCATGTCGGTCATCCCAAATGACCCCATTTTTTAGTTCAGAGGGAAAAATACTGTCATTATCTTATAATGAAATATTGATACAAAATATTTGTTGGTTGCAACGAAATGTTCAATAACTTCACGAACTAGTCATTATCTGAAAGTAATATGGTACTACGCCCGCCTTTCGAATTCGGCGAAAAATTGAGGTTATTTGGCATTGACATATTTTGGCGCCCATTAACATGGGAGAGTTCGTGCTAAGATGTCTAACGGTTAAAACATGCTCATTACGAGAGTTCTAATAGAAATTGCTGCAAGTAAACTCGCCTAATCTAATCTAATCTAATCTAATTGATACAAGATAATTAGTTTTCAGCAAACTTTGTTTGCTATCATTGCTTTCTTGTCATTATTATTTATATTTACGTATAAAAATAACAATTCAAAAGTACAATTAAACAAATCTTTGTTCCAACAATAAACGGCTGAATTCAAATTGCAGTGAATCTGAAATTTCTAACGTCGAAAAATCCCAAAAAATTCTTCATACTTTATCAGCCCTCAGATTTCAACGATTTAGTTCCGATATGTATGTGTGTGTGCGTTACTCAAAATTGTATGGGGCTACACCTAAAATCCACGGAAACAAAAATTTCACTTCAAATAGAAATCCGATCCATTGAAAAATATAGCCAATTTGGTGCAATAATCTTAAAAACACCTAAACATTTTTCTTAATATTTTTGTTAAATAGAAATATTAAGATTTTTTATAGAAATATTAAGAACAAGTAGTAAATAATGCGAAGAAGAGCTAAAATTCGACAGCTGTGCTTGTGCCTGTAAAAGTTGAACAGTCTAATAGTCATTTTAATTAAATACCAGAATCATGATTTTTAGTTTTGAAACTCGAAAATACGTATATATGCATTTCCCCCACCACGATGGATTTCTATTCCCTTCTGCGGTGGGGCGCCAATCAAATCCAATGATTTGTAAACGACAACCGCAACAACAGCCAGAATTGACATTACGCGAAAGCAGAACAATGACCAATCTGTGTGACAGCAATGTGTGTATGAAGTTGATTGTTGATGACTCGTTCGTCCATCTGCTTATTTGCTTGACTTCGAATCTCTATTTCCCAGCCAGTCGTCTGACTGTCTGGTTAGGCGTTGTGTTCAAATATTACTAGGACAATGGAGAACAGGTGGCACTATTTTCAAACGAATCTCTGATGGTTGCTACATGTTGACAGGTGGGAATGACAGTCGATCCAGATGGCGGCCAACGACCACCGACATCAGCGTTAAAGTCGACCGCAACCAGAACAGCGAACAATGCATTTGTTACAACGGTAGCCTAGCTTATTTTTTTTTTTGCGTACACCCACTGCATCTCATCTCAGCTCGGCCCAGACGCAACCTCCCCCCACCCGTCAAATGGTCAACATGTTGAATGCAGAGAACCGCGAACTGTGAAAAGCATTTCCCAGTTACTGGCATCGTCTGCTAATGAGCAATGGTGACTGCATTTCAAGTTTAATTTCGAAAATTGTATCCGAGTATCTGATGAATTTGACATACTGCCATCATCATGCAATGGTGAACATTGTTGTTGTTTGTTGTTTTTGTTATTGTCGTTGTTGTCCGCTTATGTTTCGTGCAGAATATTAAATGAAGTTGAAAAGTGTCACCTGAGACACAAACTTGTGTTGACAGAGGTTCCCTGCTATTCTTTGACATCGCTCTGCTCTGCTCTACTCTGCGCTGCTCTGCGCTGGGCTGTGCTGCTCTTCTTTTCTCTCCTCGGCTACGCTCAGTGTTCTGATCCTATCCGTTTACGACGAGCCAAAAAAGAAGTTAACAATGTACTGGTGTATAGATTGTATGTACTTTTCAGCTGATAAACAGGCGACATGGGAGATATACCAAGGATGTACACATTTATTTAACAATTGACTGAAAATTTTTTGGGCTGTGGCCCGAGAGTGGCACCTTTTGGCTGTCGCATCGGGGGAGACATTACCATGACTCCATGCTTGCCCTTCCACCAAAGCGGGCCGGAGACAGACGCTTCATAATCTTAATCATATTGGCGTAATGAAATGATGGTTGATTAGGCCAACGTACAAAAGGCAGGAAATCTAATACAGGCAGGAAATCAAATTGAAATGAATATAAATTTTTGCCAAACCAGAAAAGGAAAAAGACAACAACAAAACTCAGATTCATCACTCCTTTCAAACACCATGAGATTTAGCAGTGACATCTCTCTACGCTGCTCTTCGCCCATTTCTCTGTCGGTTTGTGTGTTTGTAGTTCTCTCCAATCTCGGGGAGAGCACGAACAGTGAGCGCGCATGCTCCGCTCCGGCTCCGGATGCTGGGCGCTTCAAAACTACATTTGTGGCCACAGCGAGAGATGTGAACTCAATCCGCGGCAGAAACTCTCCACTCCATTCTGTGGGTAGTAACATTTTTGTGAAACAGACCGAAGCAGGCCTTCCGACCAAGTCAGTATCGCTCTTGTGATTTTGTGCACAGGACAGCGGAGAGCCCGCAAAACAACGTCACGGACATTCTGTGTGGCACATCAATCGGGAATTGTTTTTGTGAAGAATCGTGTGAATAGTGGATGGTGTCAAATATTGGACCGAGGAACAAGAAAAGTGTTTTTTTTTTTGTGAATTTACAAATTTAGTGGCGAATTTTCGCGCTGGCCATTTTCAATTGTAGATTTATTTGTTTTGTGTTACTTTGTTTTGGTCAATGAAAATATTTAACAACAAGTGCAAACACACACACACATTCTAAGGTACTACACGCACACACACATGCCTGTTTGCATGTATGTGTATGTCCCATTTTTCGACAAGAAAAGGGGGGTGGAAATGTCAGAGTGCCGTTGACAGCTACAGCGGTTGACATTTCACCAGAGTGTGGAGACTTTGTTTGTCTGTTGTCACTGCCTGCTGATACTTGGTGTTTGAACACCAATAACAGTAACAGCTACAGCAGCAGCAGCATCTCATCCGCCACTGTTATTACAGCCAGTACTAAAAACAATGGCAGTACTAAATTTTTATAGACGTCATTGCCATCGCCTTTAAGATGGGAGCTCAACGCAGAGGACGAAGAAGAAGAAGAATCGCGTAAACTACGTTTGTTTGTTTGTAAATAAAACCCGGCTAAGACAAGGTCAAAATAGTTACGAACTGTCGCCCCATCGCCAGTACAACAAAAACAAAACAAAAAGGTATCAAAAATTATTTGCGTCCGCCACGCCTGCACGTGATAAAGCGCATCAGTTACGACGTCACACCATAAAAAGCCACAGACGCGCATACATACACGTTTAACTCCGCCCACTTTCCTCCCTCGGAGGATGGTCGTTATGACGTAAATATCCGAAATGCGCCCGCGGTTATAACAATTCAAATAAGAGTATCGTCTCAGTTCAAACTAACAACAGTGCAATTGCCCCTCCCGCGCCTCCATCATTCCGCCGGGGGACCAACACCATGTCGGCGCTACATTACAAATGTACGCTTTGGTCCCACTTCAAATGGTTGTGCCTCCTAATGCTACTAATCCTTCTGTGCCAAAGCGTCCAGGCGAATCCAGATGCGAAACGACTCTACGATGATCTGCTCAGCAACTACAATCGTCTAATTCGACCGGTCAGCAATAATACAGACACGGTCCTGGTCAAGTTGGGTCTGCGATTGTCACAGCTGATCGATTTGGTAAGTTAACGAAGTTTCAGCAGTAAGAAGATAAGAGAGTCAATCACGTCGGATAGCAATTGTACTGCATTTAGGGTATGTGAAATTAAATTAAGCTGGAGTTCTATTGTGGAGACACATTCACACCATATATCTAATGCAGTATGACCCTCAGTCATACCGCTACGGAGGGTATATATCTTTTGATACGTGCCTCATCGAAATTACGGGTTTGGACCCTAAGTCTCTTTAGACCAAATCCGTTTCAGGACATTTGGAGTCGATCTAGGGGAGTCCGTCCGTCCGTCTGTCTGGCTTGTGCGAACGATAACTCTCGAAGGGAATATCCTGTTTGGTTCAAACTTGGTACATCATAATATTATTTTCAAACATAGATAGAGTTCAAAGATGGGCAACTCCTTCTGGTACCTCCCCCAAAAAAGTTCAAAATCACGAAACGGTCATTCGATTTTGTGCGGAAATTCCAATATTTTTATCAGTGCTATTTCAGGTACTAAAAAGATCAATACCGGCCCACTCCCTGAAGTACTTCCCCCACAAAGACTCAAAATTTGGAATAATTTTTACTCTTATAAAACGTGAAATAAGAGCTTGGTTCTCTTCAAATTTCGCACATCCCAATATTTTCACCAATACAAGATCTACAGTGAAGGTAGGATAGATCTATCCACAGTTCTGGTACCTCCCCCATAACGGGTCAACATTTTAAAAAATTATAACCCACATAAAATACGAAGAAAGCATCAGATTCTCTTCAAGTTTCAGTGTGAAATTGATACATCTCGGCCTACCCCCTCGTTTAACCCTCTCACAAATGTTCATGGTGTGTAATACTTATATCTCTCATAATGTGTGAAGCACTAGATTATTTCCAAAAAATTGGTTGAAGATGTCCGATTTTCTTCAACTTTTGCAGATACTAATACTTTTATAAGTATTATATGAAGTATATGTCTGGTACCTCACACATATTTCAACATTTTCCGAAAATTATCACATATCTCACATGAAGAGAAGAAAGTAGTTGATAAAGTCAAAATCAAGTGAGAGTCAGTTCAGATGGGAAGTGGATAATATTGACCACTTCCTTTGGTATCTCCTCCCTAAAGGGTCAACGTTTTGAATAAACATAACGTAAATCAAACATATTTTAATAAACTGACCGACTGATATTTTTTTAACTTGTTACTTTACCATTTACTCAGTAAGTCCTTTCGGGAAACAATCTACACTCAATCAACAATCGACAATCTACTAGTTTTGACATTTTTCCCATATCATACATTTAAAACAGTTTATTGTAGTAGACATGTTCACATTCTTGCAGTTCTGGATGAGAGAACTAGTAAACTCCAACAGGGAAATCATAAGCACAGCTGACCCTTAAACTGCCGATCGAACCAAGAAACCGGACATTTTTTCTCCATTAGCGTCCAGAAAACTCTTAGAACGCAATTAGCAAATGTTCTTTCACATTTCGCTCTCTTCTACTGGACTTTTGCAAGGAAAGGTTCTTTCATTGAAAAGATAACATCATTAGGTGTGTTAGATAACTTTCTCGGTAAAAATTTCTCATTTAATTGTCCTGAGAAATCGTTTCTCTATTACTTGCAAATCTTGCAAAAAAATATCGACCGGTGCTCAGTAAATTCCTGTTGTCAAGAAAGCCCAAACCAAAATGAAATGCAACGATTTTTTGACATATCAAATTGATACCAGCTGGCCTGAAAGGGTTACCTTGTTATTCTACAATGATTATATACTCAGATGAATGATATTGATATTGTTCGCTAATGCCACAAAACAGGTGATCATTATACTCACAAACTCTTTCGGGCAAAAACTCTCTTTGTAAACTCTCAGTAATTCAACTGTCTACCTTTCGGTCGCGACTCGCTCTAGTGGGTTTCGGTTTATCGGCCAATATTAAGTAGCAGGTAAATGGTGTTAAGATCGACGGGGCCTAAGACAAGGAAATGAAAACGTTTTAAAACCACCTGCAGATATTTAGTATTTAAAACTGTATCTGACAGAAATGTAAGTTGTATGTAATAGCCAAGATAAGGCACACCAATCACCTGAATAATTATACCCTACACCACAAGGTGGTCAGGGTATTATGTCTTTGTGCATTTGTTTGTAACAGGCAAAAGGAAACGAGATAGACCCATAGTTCCTTTTGATGATCTGCATAGAATCACTTTCTGAGTTGATTTATGCATGTCAGTCCGTCTGTCCGTCCGTCCGTCTGTCCATGTATTCTTGTGAAAAAAATGCAGGTCGCGTTTATTATCCGATTGCGATGAAACTTTGCAAACAACATTTGTTTGGCCCAAGGACGAACCCTATTGAAATTGGAGATAATCGGTAAAAATTTAGATATAGCTCCCATATATATCTTCGTCCGATTTGCCTTTTATTGTGCACCAAAGGTGTAATATCAGCCCGAATGGTATGGAATTTTGCACATACAACCAACTTAGGCCTGAAAATAAGTATGCCAAATTTGATCGAAATTGGTTCAGATATAGCTATAGCTCCCATATATATTGTTCATCCGATTTGTTATTTTTGTCCTCCGCAGCCGTAATATGCACTCTGTAACAACAATATTTGGGGAAAAATATAACAAATGCAGCTCAGAAATACCTTTGCTAAATTTTATCGAGATCGGTTCAGATTTGGATATAGTTCCCATATATAACTTCGTCCGATTTACCTTTTATTGTGCACCAAACGTCTAATATTTGCCCATATGGGATGGAATTTGGCACATACGACCGAATTTAGTCTAGAAGGCAGTATGCCAAATTTGGTGAAGATCGGTTCAGATATAGTTATAGCTCCCATATATATTGTTCATCCAATTTATTGTATTTGTTACCCACAGCCGTAATATGCACTCCGTAACAACGATATTCAGGGAAATATATCAAATACAGCTCAGAAATATCTTTGCCAAATTTTATCGAGATCGGTTCAGATTTGGATATAGTTCCCATATATAGTTTTATCCGATTTCAAATTAATTTCGCACCAAATGGGCAATAAAAGTCCGAATTTAAAAGATACAAATGCTACGGCATATTTAGTCCTTTGAATTTTAAATTATAATTATAATCATAGCGTGTATGATTGAATTCTCCCATAAAAACTTTTAATTATTAAGTGGAGCTCAACTAAATTAGCAAAGTGGTGTAGGGTATCATAAAATCGGCCCCGCCCGACTTTAGGACTTTCTTTACTGGTTTTTTTTTTCGTTTATTCCGAATGAAATTAAGTAGGTTGATACGATTTTACTCAAATGTCTATTATGTCTGCAGGACTTTTGGTATTGAAAATGCGCCATGTAGGTCCCCGATTTGGTATAGCCCCCATATAATGGTACCTCCCTATTTTCGGTATTTTGGTAACTTAAGCGACATTATTCACCGGAAATGTTTCATATTTAGTATCTGGAGTTCAAAATGGATATTACAGCCTATGACAGAAAAATGTGTGTGCAGGTCCACGTCTTCGTATAGCCCTCATGTAACGGTACCTCCCGATATACGGTACTTTGATTTTAGCAGCATTGTTCACCGGAATTGTTTCAAATTTGGCATTTAAAGTTCGTAATGAATACTACAGCCTATGACAGAAAAGTGTACCTCCCTATATTCGGTATTTTGATAATTTTAGATACATTATTTACCGTTTTTTTTTTCAAGTCTTGCATTTGAATATTGTAATGGCTTATGAGAACAGTTGCCTATGCAAGTCCACGTCTTCATATAGACCCAAATATTCGGTATTTTTAAAATGTTAACAGAATTTTTGACGGATTTTTTTGATTATTGCCAAATTCATTCCAAATGGTTCTACCCCCCATGGCTCCTATGGTTCCCATGTAAAGGTACTTCTCGACGTTCAGCAGATTATTTGTACAAGAGTTTCTTTCTAAATGATGAAGGATATTAAAAAGTTCGACCCGTTTTCTTATTTTTTTCATTTTCGGTTCATTGAAAATGATTGCATGAATAGTTTATTTTTATGACGAACTTTTTATTTTGTCTGACAAGTCATTTGATTGAACTAAAGACTGTATATTTTCAACTTCTTAAGGCTCTATTTGGATATTTTTGCTATTAAAGTCCTTGTCTAAAACGATGTACGTGTGAACCATTACAAGCACTTTCGTCGCTTTGAAGGAGGTTGTAGATTTTCAAAACTATGGCTCCATGCCAGAAGGGTGCCAAACGAAGTGGGACAATAATATTGTGATTTGAAATGTCTGAAGCTGCTGGAAAACCTCCTTCCTTTAATCTATATTTAACAATTATTTCAAATGTTGACCATGGTGGATAAGTTACTGCAGATACTTTTTCACATTGAATGTACAGGATTGTACAGGCTCATGAAAGTTACTCTTGGACACTTCATATACGTTTCCGTACCCTTTTACACCCATAACCTGGTATTTCAATTTTAAATAGCGTAGGCCAACTTAATTCAGATAATTATGCCTTCAGATTTTCGGCTTCAAAGACAAATTTACAGGCGATTCGTGTTTCAATTTCCCCAAAAAAAAGTCCTTTCCTTTTCCGGCGAAGTCGTAGTTTTGAAAACACCAACAGCGTTTAAATAAAACAACACAACCAGGGAATGAGTAAAATATGAACGAAGTGACAGTGTGAAGTAAAATTTTGTGAAAGTGGAAACTTTGTCGGCGTGCTGTTCCATCGATGGCATTTTATTGCTTGAGTTTTATTCGTTTGTCCTCTGGTACACTGATGGCGAATTAGTAGGGAATTGTGTGAGGGGGTAAGGCGGGGGAGGCATACAAAGTGAAAATCAATTTGCCAAACAACGACAAATTGTAAAATCGAAAAATTGAGAATTCAATTTGTTTTAAGTGAGTCACACGAGTTGTGTATTTGGTTTTATGTATCCCTCCAACGCAGGCAGGCTGGCAGCCGGGCTGTCAGTCACTCAACGAGTCATCGCCCACTCCGCTGATTTTTTAACTAATCGAACAGCATTTCATTTCTTCGCCTTACTCGCTCGTAATGGCTTAATGCTGTTGTTTGCACTTCTGCCAGTCAGCCACTGGGCCCTGTCAACACTAACAACGGACCGGCAATCCCAAAGCCAACAAAGTCATGACGCTGATTATTTCGATATTAAAGTGGAAATTGCAAATTCTATTTTAGAAACATGGCACAAAGGAATACATAGAGCGACTACACTCAGGCTCAAGAACATCTAGCCCCACCGCCACCTCCTTCCGCTGCAAAAGCCAATATAAGAAATAGACTTTTAAGTGAGGACAGGAGTGGGAGATTCTCCACTGCAGCGCTCAAGTTCGTGTAAAAATTGAAATCAAATTTACTTATCTTCTGGCAAAGGAAAAAGGGAGGAGACAAGGAGAAAATATTTCCTGAGGAGTGGTGTGGGTCAGTACAACGAAGGAGTTCTAAAACATGTAATGCCCTTCTTCTTCAATTGAATTTATCTGCCATGTACCATTGCAATAAGTTATTGTTCTATAGCCGACTATATACATTTTAAAATGTTCTTTATGGTAAAGAAAACTTCATTCGGGTGCTAGAGGGACGAACAATTTATTTTCCCTTGCTTTAAATAAGCCGACCAAAATTATTGGAAAATTGGAAGATGTTTATCCACGAATTTACCCAAAATTTGGGAAAATTTCTCTGAAAACAAAGATGAATAATTGCTACTCTTATATTTTCAAATGCGCCTGAACTTACCTCTGACCAAAACGGCAACGAAGTTTGCATTACTTTAATGTTTTCCCAGCGAGAAGGCCAAAGTGTGGCAATTGCTTCCTGAATCCAAGTCCATCCACATGAGGCGCCACTCTTACGGAATTCAAAAGACCTTGTTATGGTTTGAGAATGTATGTGTGAAAGTCTTTTAGTCTTTTTCAGGGTACATAAGCAACTTGGGACCATGGCTAGGCATATTAATGCCAAAATATAAGCGGAAACAACGGCAGGATTCGAGTGCGGCTTTGCCATCCCTTTATGGTATCTCACAAAATATGTCATGCGAAGACTTCAACCTGCATTGTTACCCACACCTTAAGTTCGGCCGGGCCTAACTTTCAATACCCGTTACCATTAGGTAAAATACAACAGGTACCGTTATATGGGCACTACAGGAAAACGTGGACCTACACATACAATGTTTGACCACCGCAACTAGAACCCAGACATAGCTACATTTTATGCCGATCATCATTAAATATACTTTATGGGGTCTACGACGAATTGTTACAAAGGGAATGATAAATTTAATATGCTCTCCTTTCCAAGGTGGAGGGTATAAAAACTAGTTGATAAGGTGGTTTGATCAATGCACAAGCAAAATGGTATTTTTTCTTCTTCTTCAGTTTGAGATTTCAGAAATTCTCCTACTTTCCATGATCTTATCGTCTACCATAACAACAAAAAAATGTCACATATTGCCTCAACATGGATACAGCCTTAACTTTTTTGGGCATTCGGAATCGTGGAGGACATACCAGAAGGAGTGCATCTTTATATATCATTCCCTTATTTCAGTAGAACTAGTCGATAGGTCATTTTGTATTTTACACGAATACGAGGGTTACACCTAACTTTGATACAAATATTACGAAAGGTTTAAAGTTTGGACTTGATAGGAAAGCCGATTTACCTTTTGAGGGATTCAAAATTATTCAAAGCATTAGAATATGCAAAGTTTCAAGGATTTCAAAATACATATGTATATGTCCTTTAGATACGTACCTGGCGAAATTTTCAGCCTTTAGAGGGGGATGCCCGCCTTAACTTTTAGATCTTACAATGGACACAACAAGCGAATAAATTAAACACACACATACACACTTTTGTAAATCCTTTTTTCAGAATTTAAAGGATCAGATTCTAACCACAAACGTGTGGCTGGAACATGAGTGGCAGGACCACAAATTCAAATGGGATCCTTCGGAATATGGCGGTGTTACCGAACTCTATGTGCCCTCGGAACACATCTGGCTTCCCGACATCGTGCTCTACAACAAGTAAATATATTTGGAAATATCGAAAATCCGACATAACATTGCACTCTTCCAATCGGTTTGTTTCAGTGCCGACGGCGAGTACGTCGTGACCACCATGACCAAAGCCATTCTACACTACACCGGGAAAGTAGTCTGGACACCACCGGCCATTTTCAAGTCCTCCTGCGAAATCGATGTTCGCTACTTTCCTTTCGACCAGCAAACGTGTTTCATGAAATTCGGATCGTGGACCTATGACGGTGACCAGGTAAGTCGTCCAAACGCCAGTGAGTGCTGGGAGAGAGAATAAATGTTACTCCCCCACCCGCCTAGATCGATTTGAAGCACATCAACCAGAAGAACGACAAGGATAACAAGGTAGAGATCGGCATTGACTTGCGCGAATACTATCCCAGTGTGGAATGGGACATTTTGGGAGTGCCAGCGGAACGGCATGAGAAATATTATCCTTGCTGTGCAGAACCGTATCCCGGTAAGCAAAACCGGCCCGCTGGCGCCTGCCGTGGCATACGGACGTGCTAATTGCTCTCCCATTTCAGACATATTCTTCAACATCACCCTGCGCCGCAAGACCCTCTTCTATACCGTCAATCTGATCATTCCCACCGTCGGCATATCGTATCTGTCGGTACTGGTGTTCTACTTGCCCGCCGATTCGGGCGAAAAAATCGCCCTGTGCATCAGCATTTTGTTGTCGCAGACCATGTTCTTTTTGCTCATATCCGAAATCATACCCTCCACCTCACTGGCCCTGCCGCTGTTGGGCAAGTACTTGCTCTTCACCATGCTGCTGGTCGGGCTCAGTGTCGTCATCACCATCATCATTCTGAACATCCATTACCGTAAGCCGAGCACCCATCGCATGGCGCCCTGGGTGAGGTCGTTCTTCATTAAGCGTCTTCCCAAGCTGCTGCTGATGCGAGTCCCCAAGGATCTGCTGCGAGACCTGGCTGCCAATAAGGTCAACTACAACATGAACTTTAACAAGACGAAGTTCGGCAAGGCATTGATGGATGAAATGAACATCAGTTCGGGCGATTCCAGTCCCGACTCCATACGTCGTATGCAGGGTCGTGTGGGTAATGGTCTTCACAGTGCCTCGGCCACGAATAGGTGAGTTCCGTTGTGCTTACCGGCCAGTGATTGTCCCATTCATCTGTGACGAGTTCCGATTTTCATTTCCCTCTTTTGTTTCTCTTGTTTTGGAAATATTTACAGATTTAGTGGCATGATGGGGGTTTTGGGTGGCGGCCTTAGCACCTTGAGCGGCTACAACGGACTGCCGTCTGTGCTCTCCGGATTGGACGATTCCCTGAGTGATGTGGCACCACGGAAAAAATATCCATTTGAGTTGGAAAAGGCCATCCACAACGTCATGTTCATACAAAACCATATGCAGCGCCAGGACGAATTCAATGCGGTGAGTAGGAACTCGTCAATAGCTTTGGCAAGCTAAATCTTTTGTCGTTGTGAGTAAAGAAGCAATCACGGCAAGGGCATCACAGATAGGAGAACAATAAACAATACTCCAATTGTCTTGGAGAATGGACGCATCCAGCAGCATGAGGGTCTTCAATGGGTTAACATTTTGGTTGTGTGACTTTGTTTACACATCTGAGTCGCAATGGACAATTGAGCCTTCCAAGAAAATAACTTCATATCTTTGCGAATTCTTCAAATCAAACACTGATTTGATGGGCATTTATCGCTTAGAGCCGATGCGAAAGGTCAGTAGTAAGGAAACCATATATCCAAGTATGCCGGCGGTTGGCAATAACTCTTAATGGCTTTCTGATGTGACTACGTCCACCCTACGCCGGAGACATTTTCCCGATAATGTACTGACCCCCGGGCCCTGCTAGGCGTCCTTGCAAAAATTTGTTTTTAATTGCTTTTGTTCCGCTTGACTGGTCAACAATTTGTTTGCATTTTGCCACACAACCGCACCGATGGGCGGAAGCGGCTTTCCAGTGTTTCCAAGTACACAAACAATGTCCGCCGCCTCCGTGCCAGCACCCAGCCTTAAATACACACAATTTGGTTTATGTGTACGAGCGGGGGGCGCTGAGTGGGTGAGTGCATGAGTGTGGATGACATTGAAAGCCATGTGTCAATCATCGATTCATGCAAATGCAGCAGCATTCACAACTGAGTGCACAGGACTGACCGGCTGACTAGCAGTTCGTTTCGCTTTGATCTGCCATGGCCAATTCAATTTAAATCCTTAAACACATCCTCCACTCGCCAAATAAACACAGCCTCGAATTGAATAAATAGAATTGTTCAAATTGTGATGGGCGATGGGTGGAATAAATTTAAAAACAGGTCGGCATGAAGTGCTTTGCACAGACATGCCTGTATGGTTTGAATGAGGCGATCGGCATTTGAACATAGTCGGTATAAATTCATTCCTCCTTATAATATTAACCCGTAATTTCTTCTCCAACTTCCCCTCCAACACTCTTCCCCTCCTCCTCTCTACTCCACTCCTCTCCTCTGCGCTACTCTGCTTTTGTCATTTCAGGAAGATCAAGACTGGGGCTTTGTCGCCATGGTATTGGATCGTTTATTTCTCTGGATCTTCGCTATTGCATCCCTTGTGGGTACATTCATGATACTGGGCGAGGCTCCGTCCCTATACGACGACACAAAACCCATCGATGTGGAACTGTCAGTTATTGCCCAGCAAATCTACAATCTGACCGAGAAGAAGTCGTAAGAGTCCTCCTGCACCCGCAACCCCATTGCACTGATGTCGTATCCTGCAGCGGCCGGCCTCCCCTCTGCCCCGGAAACAAAACTCCAACACACCTCGAATGTTAACAAATGTCAAGTCTCACTCAACGCTCTGACTAAATCAATAAAATTTATTAGAATTAATGCGATTTTTGTAGTTTAAGGCCGAATGCAACAACAATAAATAAATAATTAAAAAAAAATAACACAAAAACATAAATATGTATTTCAATTAGAAAAATTCAAAACTTCTGCGTGTGTTCATATTGAAGATGCCGATTTAAGTTTAGCACATCCCAATATTTACAAATTGCCCGCTGCGAACGTCTCAGCATCAATTAGAATTGGTAATTATATTGAATAATTATATTCTTCAAAATTCAGTCGTCTCAAGCTTCCCATCAAAGCTAGCATTAATGTCGAGTTGATATATACGAAGGAAATATTAAGCGAACCGATATCCAAATTTCATAACATTTCTATGGCGTAATAACCGTGGCACAACTGATACAACATATCCCCACAAATGGTCCAGCAAATATGGTACTCCCACACAAACTAACCAACCAATGTACCAAACGGAGCCAAACTTTTGGTCCAAACTTTGCTCATAGTAATATCTGTACCGCACTGAGGTCAGGTGCAAAATAGGCAAAATCGGTTCATATCGTCCGGTCCTCATGTCATAATGCCATTTTGGTTAATCACAATTCTCACAAAATAAGAAATAAGTTATTCATTTTCCTAAAGCTTTGGACTTCGCAACATTAATGCCATGTTTACATAAAATACTAAGATACTAGGTGGCATGGACTGAGGGAATACAGGGTGCGGAAACACTTAAATTGTTGCTAATTTGATTTCCACGGGCAAAGGAAATAACAGTAATATTTCCAACTATATTAACTTCGATTATAAATCGAAATGTTCATTCGGAATATTTACTCAGTCGTCGGTGTTAATTATCGAAATTAAATTTCTTACACCCCCCCCCCCCCTTCAGTCATGTGGGAAATGGGGCAATAATCAACGCCAGCAACTCGATATCGCATGTCGCATCAATTACGAAGGTTTGAGTGAGACTCACAACAATGGCGATACATCTGATTCTCTGTCGACCCATCCATAAAGGCTGCGTTGCTCTCCTTTGGGCTATTTACATGCAGTTTGGTCGTCTGCTACACCCTCAATGCCTTAAGAATGTTGTCCCCACACAAACATTGGCCTATGCATCCATTTATACATTTGTCGGGGGGTGTGTAGATGCATTCCAACCATGGATGTGGTTAGACCATTGAGGGAAATATTTCTTTGCACAAACACACACACTCACACACGTTAAACCATCCAATTGTGGACACATCTAAATGACTCTATGTTGGCTAGGTAAGATCTGGCTTTCATCAAATACGGGTATAAACGAATGTGGCTGGGTTAAGAAGGGTGTGTGTGTTTGTGTATGTATGTGTAAGTCTGTGTGACTTGGAATGCCTTTCGTACCGAAATCGGAAAATGTTGTGGCCGAAGTGCTTAAACTTGACTTGCTATTTTTGGTTGTGCATGAAGACCGGGCACAAGGTATGATCTGAATGTGAGGTTTCTGTTCTGTCCTATGGCAGCCACTACAGCTTCCTCACACAAATGTTTGCATGGTCAAGATTCATGTTTGGCTATTGGCAAATTCTCAACAAAAGCAGAAGGTCTGGTGCGGCCGTGTGAGTGCTTGTCATGTTGTCTGTGTTGAAATTCTCCTAGACACTGTCACCTTTAGGCTCTGGCATGACTTTTATTCGTTTATAACCAGCTGTGGGTCTCGTCTTGCATATGCTCCGGAGTCGGAGGTGGTGAGGGGGGATTCTCGTTGGCCGACTCTGATAACAGCGTTAACATTGACTGGACCATATTCGTTTGACATTTAAGAGAAAGAAATTAATATTTAAGTTGTCATTGGTGTTGTAGTCGTCAATGTCATTCGACGACCGTCGTATGGTATGAGTAACAAAAAAGCTAAAAATGAACGCTACGTATACGCAACGCAGACCAAAAGACTATTAGCTAATTATGTCTATATGACAGTGTTAGTAAGAAATTGCAATCCTTTACAGGACGAACATTTTTCAGCTACGTCATAAATAGCAATCTAACAAAGCGTCCTAGTTCCAGGCAAATCATATATTAATATCTCACATCTTTACTTAAAGCTGTCCTATAGGGCCGATTTTTAAGTTTGAATAGAAAGACACCGGAAGTCGACCACCGGGGCCAGGGACCCGGCCCGAAATGCTAAATGTTTTGAGCATTGAAAATCTCATTATACCCTGCACCACATAGTGGTAAGGGTATGTCTTTGTTACTTTTGACGATTACCATAGTTACTTTTGACGATTTTCATAGAATCACTTTCTGAGTCGAATTATGCAGGTCAATCCGTCCGTCCAACCGATCATGTATTCTTGTGAACAAAATGCAGGTCGCATTCATTATCCGATTGAGATGAAATTTTGCAAACAATATTTGAAGGACGAAACCTATTGAAATTGGTGATAATCGGATCAGATTTAGATATAGCTCTCATATATCTTCAACCGATTTCGGGATAATTGTGCACCAAATGATCAATATAAGTCCTAATTCAGTCTAGAAGCAATTACATCAAATTTGGAAAAAGTCGGTTCCGATATAGCTATAGCTCCCATATATATGTTTCATCCGATTTTGGGTATTAAGTCTTTCACATGCGTAATATGCACTCTACCAGAAAATATTTGGTACCAGATATCAGATACAGCTCTGGAATAAGTGTATCAAAATTTGTCAAAATTGGATCAGATTTGGATATAGCTCCCACATATATCATCGGGTTAATTGTGCACCAAATGGCCAATATCAGTCCAAATGACCTGAATTTTGGTACATCCGACTTTAGTCTAGAAAAAATTGCATCAATTTTGGTTCAGATATAGCTATAGCTCCCATATATGTTTCGTCTGATTTGGTTTTTAAGTACCTCACAACCGTAATATGAATTCGACAACAGTGATACCAGATATCTTAATAGCTCAGAAATACATTTACCACATTTTATCGAGAACGGCTAAGATTTGGGTATATTAGTTCCTTTTGAAACGAAACTATAACTTCTCTAAAGCCAAATATTGATAGGTGGTATGATCTACTTCAAATAAATTATTTTGTTACGAGAGCTCTACTAAATATGTTTAGTGGTGTAGGGTATCATATAGTCGGCTCCGCCCGACTTTTGAATTTTCCTTGCTGGTTTTTGTCTGTTTTGGTTTTGTTTTGTCTTTATATCGAAAAAAAAAACAAACCAAAGGACCTTGTGTTCTTTTGTAGGAATTTTACAAATTTGGGACTTATGTAGTCTTTTCAGGTAGCCAGAAAACAGGTCATTCACGTTAAACAATTATTCCTTCAAGCATTATTCCTTTCTGTAAATTTATTCATTCGTTCAGTTATCTTCCTATTTGTTTTTTTTTTTAATCTTTATATTTATTAATTTATTGGTTCATCGATAGGATTTCTGCTTATTTTATTTATCTGTTACTTTACTTATTTAGCTATTAATTGCTCTCTTTCGAGACAAGCTTTAATGAGGCAACATCAGAACTGGACACATATGCCAATGTCCAATTTCGCCAGCTACCGACTCCACGGTGCGATTTCACACACACACACACCCACACATAAGGCTACTGTCCACATGTATATTAACCACATTCGTTGCTTTCTATACCGGAAGTAAGGGTGGCGGGGTGTGAGGAAGCAGTCATATCCTATAAATCAGAGTGCCCATCAATTAAACGAACTTGTCTTGCTTTGTGTCTTACATATGTCCGAACGATATTTCGGAGATTGCCATCGATGAAATGAAATGAAAGATTTACGAGTTATTAACAATTACAATATTTCACACTGGAGTCACGCCATTGTCTGTGATTCTCAGAGGTGCTTTGTCAACACAGTGCTCGCATTAATCACATCCCAGTGGATAATTATTATGGCAAATCATGGTGATCGGCATAGAATGCTATTGAAATAAATCACTCATCCATAAACATACACACACAAAAGCGCGCGCACACACACACACACACATTTTCAATATTTATTAAAGTTTCCCTTGTGATTGGGGAATATCTGTTGCCTGGCAATAGCCGTCAATGGGACTTGGAGAAGTAACCACTTTGACACTTCCCATAGCCGTTAAGATTTCAAGTAAAATTGTTTTCTTTATTAACAACGCCACTTGTAAGTGACTGGCACCGACATCACCGCCATCGCCCAGCAAGCGGAGTGCTGCAGCAAGGCGTGACATGACAAGGAGTGAAGTGGAGCGGTGTGAATGGGGTAAGTTTGAATTTGTCTAATTAAAAGCATCACAAAAACGTAATGACACTTGAGCAATTCTGCTGAACAGCCCTTCAAGGTCCCTCCATTCGAACGTCTTGGAAATATGATTGATTGACGCATGTCCCCTCCCATCCAACGACAGATTCAGTGAGTGAGTGAGTGAGAGAGATAGGAATAGAGTGGGAGACAAGGCAAAGTTTTGCTGCAATTCTTCAGAAAACAAAAAGTTTGCTATAAATTGGCCAGCATTTGCACAGCGACGAGCCAATTCTGGGAAAGGAAACTGAAGCAACCATCGGCGCGGAACGTGGAAAATCAGCTGCATTTGTCAACAATGCTGGGTCTTCGAATTCAAGTTGGTAAACTCGTTCATCTCACGCTCATTTCTCATTTCAAAGTCCAAGTTAAACTTGTTGTTGTAATTATTGCAATTCCATTCGGCTTGTTAAAAGAAGTGTAACAATTTCAGGCAACTTCAACGGTCGGGGGAGGAACTGTGGCCAGGATGGCAAAGACAAACAGCTACGGATATTTGTGCTTTTGTAGTCGACGTCACAACTTAATTATGTTCGTTGGCATGACTCTGCTAATTGTGAGTTATGGCGTAAACACCGAACAGATGTCAGCTGGGCCAGTCGGTCTAAAAGCTGTGTCGAGTGCGAATACAAACTTGAACAACAACAGACGTGGCATTGGCGAGAGCAGCGTTGGAAAGGAAAACACAAATAGGCTACAGCATGCCGTAATTCTATTGTCGCCTGTGCCACAAGACAGAGGGCGAAGCAGCGACAGCCGGGAGCAACAGCCACCATCGAAGTATTTCATAAATTTCAGGAAATCTCGTTTATTTGGATTACTCGGCAGCAATTATTCATTGTCTTACAATTTGACCATTGGCTCGGGCAGCACGGCGGGTAACATAACGGTGGCAGCCCCAGCGCCAGCCTACTACTACGCAGCTGCACCATATTATCCCTATGGCTATGACTACTACTACAATCCGTATGCCTATAATCCGTATGCCTATAATCCTTATGCCTACAATCCCTATGGTTATAATCCATATTATTCCTACTATTGAGGCTGATTCGGATCGAAAGCAAGAAGGAGAAATAAATAAAGGAAAAATTATTGAAAATAGCAGTCATTCCATTTCAGAATAATCCAAATTGAAAAACGACAATAAGGTTTCCCACCTTTTGCAGTTAGCATGTCAAATGGTTCTCATTTGAGAGGAAGCTGCAAAAGTACTGACACATACCATCTCCTTTGTATATCCGACAGTTTTCAAAATAATCAAAGGGAAAGGATCCAACAAAGATTTATATAAAATATACCATACCTTACTATACTAACTGGAACAAGACCTTTGCCAAGTGTCGAATATCACACATTCATATTTTAGCTACTTTGCAAAACAAATAGCCAAGAATGGAATGGAGAAGGCACAACCAATCAATGCGGCTGGCTTAAAAAATTTCCCTTTTCTCGGAATCGCATGGAGTTGCTCAAACAAATGCCAATTAATTCAACTACTATTGTAAAGAGAAACTGTGAAAGTTCCGATGCTTAACACAAAACATTCATTTGTTTGCTTGTGATCATAGCTTCGAACATTCTCCACGCAGAAAGGGGTCTATCAAAGACCTTGAGGAACTTTTAAATCTTATGCCAATTAAATTAACACTTCAATGACATTATCTGAGAAGGAGACCTTCAACCCCTCGCATTCGTTCAGTTGCGCCCGCTTCCTCAAAACATGCGCCGTTTCTGAAGGCAGCATTGAGTTGAAGATACTGTCACGGTCGTGCGGAGTGAGCGGTCGCGGGAATGCCATTGTGGCAATTGTCCTTGTTAATCAAAAGAATATTCTCAGCCTAACTTCTGAACTTGGACAACGACAAATAGCCGAATGAAGTTCTGCTTACCTTTCATGCAATTATCTTTGCCATCCATTACCGTTTGTGAGCCGATGGCGTTCTACTCAATGGCTCAAAACTTGTAAAGGCTTGTACATGTAAATGTGTATTTGTATGTGTGTGTGTGTGTTTGTGATAGAAAGCCAGGTAGCTGGTTGAATTTTAGAAATATACAACAAGGCAAACAATAAGTTGTTAACAAAAACAACAACAACAGCAAATAAGAAATATCTTTTACCCTCTTTGTTAGCATTCTGCTAAACAAGAATTCAGACAGCATTCGGCAATGGGTATATTCTGCAACGAACTGTCAGCTAATTCACAGATGTATTCGTAGTTCAATTGCCTATGGCTGTGCATAGCTTCTTCATGCTCACACTCACACACACACCTATTCTTCGCAATGTTAAATATTTTACAACATTTGCAGCCAACTTGCATGACAATGCCTCCGTGTACCACCGGGCCTGGGCAAACAAATCGAGGAAGACATATAACCCAGCTTTTGTCGTTGCTCTGCCGAGCCGAATATAAAATTCAAATATTTCTCTGGCAACAAAGCCCAGGGGGCATTATCGGCAAGACTATTCAGTACCTGGTTACAAAGATGGCGTTCCAAGAAGCTGGAAGGATTTGTTGCCACTGCTTCTGTGGACTTGCCATTGCCATGGCATGGGCATGCCTTAGAGGTCGTTTCGCCAAGTCTAGCAGGAACTGAGTTTTGTATGGCGCTGAAAAGGCTCATGACCAATTAAATGTCGAAATAATATTCACAACGTTTTGGGTTTTCCATCAATTGACTCGGCTTTATGAACTGCTTGTCAACCAGCAATCATTTTTATTTTGCTTTCAGACAGGCGTCCATACGAAAAAAATTACTGTGGAACTGTTTTGAATTAAAGCTAAAAATGTCGGAAATAGCATCAAATTCTAGAATAAATTTAGATTTGTTCAAATTAGTCACCTTTGGCACGAATTATGGCCTTCAAACGGGCAATGAAATCTTTACATGCTGCCTAAGTGTTGCTCTGCGGTGCTTCGCCGGGAATGGTGCCTTGCTTTCTAAAATACTCCAGACACAATAGTCCAACGGATTGGTATCCGGAGATTTTGGAACTTCAATGGCTTTACCCCGAGATCATTTTTCAGTATTTGCCGAATGGAATATTGTAATACGTTCAGCTCACGAGTCATTTTTCGGCCACTGCGACGCGGGTTTCGCTTCTTTACTTTTTGAACCATTTCTGCTGATGTTGTTCTAACGATAGCCACTTGTGGTTTTCCAGCCAAATATCAAGAAATCACACTATCACGCTTAAATTCCATTAGGAATAACTATTTTTCTGGAAAATTCTCACCAAAATGCTTTTGCACGCTTGTAAACAATATAATGAGCTATCACTGAAATTCGAGATGGAAACACGATCTGAAGTTACGAACATTAAGGGCCGTTCAAAGTCCTAAATTACATCTAGAGCTTTTCGTTATTTGTTTGTTTGCCAACGCTGAGTATCGAACTGACAACAATCGAGTTTGCAGTCGAGCCACAGTTACTTATTACTCGGTAATCCCACTCATTACCAAGTAAGTTCTTTTGTATTGACAATTTTTAATTATTTTATAACCTACTGGTAATGCATTAACTTTTAATAACATATTCGAGTCATGTGGTTCCCATACATTTGCTCGGTGTGATAAGCCTTCAAAATCTGCCAACTATACCTAATCGGACTCTCTTAAAAAAGTACTCGTTTGGTACTTCCAATGACCTGTTTTGTGACAGGCTCCTCAGTGTCAATGCATAATCGTTTACATTGAAACCGTCTGTCCGCAACCTGTCACACTATTCAGCCTGCTGATATTCGCACCGCGTGTGTGCGTGTGTCGGCGTGTACTCCTCTGATGTTAACTTCACACGAGACCTGGGCACAAAGCTCATCGTGTTTGTCTTTTTGTTTGTCATTCAAAGCCAAAAGTCTCTGTTATCTGCTTTATGCCACTTTTACAATGCTGATGAACTGCAGCACGACGACCCACACTCTCCCACATACCACCATTCACAAATGGACATACAAAGGTTTGTTCGTACGTACATAGCTAAAGACGGGCAAATCTATGACATGTGCGAATGCATTGCTTGTAAAAGAATGTCGGTTAAGGTTATGCGAGTCGTTAAAAATAAATAAGTTTGACTGATACCATTAACACAGCGAGGCAGACAGACAGACTGACTGACTGACAGTCAGATATGTGACCGAACTAATTAAGGAATGCTGGCACAACACACACAAAGTGAGAATGGCATAAAATAACCGATATGCATTTTGTATCGCGTCTGCACTGCTCATGTCCCAGCAGCCCTCAGGTGGCACATTATTCCATATTTTAGTGTATTCGAATGGAAACTGGTTATGGACGAATAACTGTTGCAAAGGGTATCAGCACCATGTAATTCATTTTGCCATCCAACAAAATTTCAATCTTCAATGCCAATCAATAATACGACTCCAATTAGGCCCGACTGTTGCACTTTAACTCTGCCATAAACATGTCACACGACATGTCAGCTGATTCCAGTAATTAAAATGAAATCTCTAGCATCGCAACTTCTTTAAATGTCGACGTTGCCAGTCTCACGAAGCACTTTCCTTTATGGCCTGGTTAAAGATTTATCGTCCCCACCCAAAACATGTGGTATTTAATTGTCTTGCTCCACGAATATGTCCTTTAGTACAGCGATAAGGACATTCCCATCCGCCTCACAGTGATGCACATTTAAGTCTTCCACTTTTCTGTGGTGTCGTTTTTATTTCAGATTCATTGTGGCGACAATGATAATAAATCGGATTCGAGTGATTCATTGCATATGCACGAGCGCAGCAGAGGCTGAACTTTTTGCTGCATATTTTCAGGCTGTTTCGGTGCATTTGCATAAACATGGTCGAGTGTGGAAGGATATTAACAAGGATCTCATTCAATAATACCCGACAAATACACGGGTGCGTCCAAAGAAATTCTTGGTCGGCTGATAATGTTGTGTTGGTGGGAGGCAGCAGCATTCACTCATCCAACCGCGGTGAATATTTGAACACCATTAACGTGTTTCACATCGCCAACATCATTTGGAAAACATTCTGAATAGCCACACAAAAGAAGCCATAGAAACGGAACAAATATTGATAGACTTGAGACCAAGTACAAATACAAATCTCTCGTTCCATTTCGGTGTGGTGCTGATAATTTGATATTTTAAATTAATTTGCATGGATAAGAGAAAGCGAGACAGGGGTGTTGGGTGGATGACTGTTTTCGGACTGTTGAATGTGCAATCTATTGGAAATCATGCACTGGCCTTGAACGATTCAAATAAGTGGTGTCCCAAGTCTTCGAATGTTGTGAGTGAAGCAAATCGAAAGGAATTAAAAATGCAACACTTTGATAATAAAAAAAATAACACAAAGCCATAAATCAAATCATAAGGCCACACAAAACACATGTCTATGCCATGGGAAGTATCGAAGAGCTGCTGCCAGAACCAAAAAAATATCACATATTATATTTATCAGAATTTGGCAACATAATTTCTAGATCTGAACGATAACCCATCTCTCATTAACTGGACTTTTTAGTTATAGAACAACATTTTGTGGATAAATTCCTTAAAAAAAAAACCCTTTTAAGTTTAACTAGTTTTTTCGGGTCGAGTTTCTCGTCAATAACAAAAGGGACACCTTCAATATACCGAACATTTTGTGCGAGGAGTTATAGTACCCACTGGCAATTCGTAAAGTAATACTACAGCCCTTTTTGATGGGAATACGGGAAAAAGTTCGAAAACAAAAAATTGTTGCGAAAATCGAATCAAATTTTGGATTTCAGTGGTAAATATAATGAAGATTGTTTTTAAGTGAAAAATAATAAAAAATATTTAAATTATTGCCTAAAATTAAAAAAAAAAAAAAACAATTTAAAAGTATCAACCGGTTTTGTCGACAGATGTATACCCTCAGCCAATGTTCGATTATTTAAATATATTTTGACTTCAGTTATGATTATTCAAATTGTTGGCCTACTCCATGGTTTCGAAGGAATGGTTCAATATCATTCATTTTGTATCGGACCTAAAAATGTGGACTATATTGGTAATTTATATGAGTTATGTGATAATTTGTAGAAGATGCTGAAATGTGCGTGAGGTACTAGATATAGTCGATCGAAGT